AAGCTAGCTAGGATCTGGACAATATGGTGTCCAAACCCACTTCCGCTCCGTCCAAGGCCAAATCCGCTTCGGGATCGGCAAAGAAGAAGACGCCATCGTTGGTGGCAAATAGCCTCAAGAAGACGCAGCGCAAGCCCAAAGCCTCCAAGTTCAAAGACGCCACGGCACGCGAGCACCTCGATCGCCACACCAACCAGCTCCTCGCCACACCGAGCGACGATAAGACCGACGACGCGTTCTCCTACCACACGGGATCCAAGGCCGACCAGCGCAGAACAAGGGCTCAAGTAGACCAGGCCGCCCTGGCGCTAGACATGCTCATGAAGTCGTAAACCTCCCCTGCCTCGAGTCTTGGATCTTATTAGCTTCAAGATTCCTTCCGCATCCAATATACCCGCCTCAACAGCCAGAGATGCACATCTGCTGCGGAGGCTCATCTCTGTAATCTGCATCATAGACCAACATGTCAAGGATGTGCATCCAAACGCCTGTGGGTGTCTGAGAGGCGAGCAATGACCGAGAGAGCAAATGTCGGTAATTGTTAGATTAGGGAATGCTATTTGCAGCTGAATTTTTTTTCGGTTCTCGGGCGGGGAGTGAGTGGGCTTTGTCGAGTCTTGGTGCCGCAAAAAACGGCTGGTGAGCTTTCCACCTTGGTCGTGACCATCACCCGCTCTATCCACCTCCCTTCTTCTCAATCACTGCGCCTCTCGTCCGACACCTAGTTCGACACCAGGAAGCTCCGTGCGCATTCTACACACTCGACTCTTCTCACTGCGACTTGATCTGCGACGATGGTGGTGCGACTGAGGTTGAGCCGCAAAGGCACACGCAACAACCCCTTCTACCATTTGGTGGCCATCAACGACTCGAAGCCGCGCGATGCACGACCCATTGAAAAGCTGGGCGAATACGATCCCATCCCCCGCCCCGTCACTGCCGCAAGGCTCCCCAACCCTTCTCTCGGCCCAGCACCGGGTTATGGCGCAGTTATGACCACGGGTATCGCGCAGCAGCAGGCGGAACCAACGTTGCAGAAACGCCTCGAGTGGAACGAAAACCGCATCAAGCACTGGCTCCAACTGGGCGCACAACCTTCCAAACCCGTAGCGAGACTGCTGGACAGAGTAAGTTCACCCCGCAACACAAACACAAGAGTGGAAGTCCGATTACTGACGTAGGCATGGTTGCTGTGGGATCATAGGCCGGACTCATCCCAGAAGGCGTGCACTATAAGGGCATCTACCGACCGCCGCCTGCAGAGCTGCAGTTCCAAACAGACAAGAACTCCAACCGCTCCTAGTCCAGTAAAGCTATCCGCTTTTGTACATCATGCCACACTGCCAATCCTCAGCCTCTCACGAACAACAACCGACCGGAATGCGGTCCAAAGTGGCACAACACGGTCGCTATTGACATGGGGTAAGCAGCGATGGAACGCAAAACAGAAGGGGGTATTGGAACAGAACCGAGAACGAGACGGGGGGATGATCGCTCATGGAGCTGCGTGGGTTTAGTCGCGCGACTGGTTGTTGAGGATGCGGAGGATGTTGATGAAGAGGTTGACAATGTCGAGGTAGAGGCTGATGTTGGCGAGCACCCATTCCTCGGCGCTAAGACGGCGCTGGATGAGCCAGGTGTCGTAGACAATGTACAGGCTGAAGATCACGCAGCCTGCACCGGCCATGATGAGGTCAAACGTCTGGTTGTACGGCATAAAGATGCCGACGAAGCCGACGCCCACCAGCACCATGAGGCCACCAAACAGCCATCCGCCGAGGCTGCTGAAGTCCCACTTGCTCTGGAGCGTAAACAGCGTAAGCCCAAAGAACGTGAAGGCCGTAATCACCATTGCCTGGAGGACGATCTTTTGGTCCACGTATGTGATCACGGTACCGAGCGAGATCGACTCGAGCACGGTAAAGAGCGACAGCAGCAGGATGTTGGTCGGGTGCGAGTGGCGTTTCCAGTACAGGAATCCCATGGTCACCAGGCTTCCGATCATGGGCACGATGAACGCCCACTGGTTCTGCTGCACCCACGACGCGATCCCCTGCGTCGTCATGATCGCCGCGATCGCCGTCGTGCCGAGGATCTGGAAGAAAAGCACGCTGTACACCTTGCGCAGAAACATGGCCCGGATTTCGGGCGAAGACTGCTCGACCGTCACGCCAAACTTGAAGTCATCCGGATCGCCTTCCTGATCCACATCGCGCGGGGCGGCACCCGCACCCGCATCCGCCGCCGCACCGTACGACGGTGCATCGTGCTGCGGAACAGCCTGGTAGCCCTTGGGCGCATACGAAGGTGGCGCGGGATAGTTGCTCGACATTTTTCGATAGCAGACGTGTGGTGAGGATGGTGTGGAGAATAGGAAGGGGTGGCGCCGCAGACGCTGGATGTGTCGAGGCTTGCCCGTGGCGCGGCTGAGCCGGCTGCTGCCTGGCGCTGCTTTCTCCACTTTTTCGGCTCAGCCGCTGCTCAACGCCCGCACAGCCCGAAATAACCCTCGAAATGCCGCGCCTCGAAGCCTCCAGAAATCGCGCGCCAAACAGGCCTCTGTTGAGCCCTGCCACACCGCGTGCACTGGCCCAACACCACATGAAACGGACGGGAACGCGATGCCCGGCTATGAGCTTGGCTTCACTTTTTGGGTTGAGCGCCGTTCATTTCTGCTGTACATTCGCCTGCTATACAGTACAACGTGAGCCTACTGCCTGCCGTGCCAAGAGCCTGTGCAGCACTGTGGCACGGTAATGCAGGGGCAGAGGAAAAGGGGAACGAGGGGAGCAAGGGGCCGAGGAAGACTGTTCGGTTCCAGGTTCGAAGGAGGATGGAGAAGGAGGTGGCGGCAGGCGCTCAGTTGTACACCGACTTGAACTTGGTGACGCTGGGGCGGGGGAGGAGGCCGCCGTGGGACTTGACGCCGTTGATGCGGTGGTAGGCGTTGAGGTTCTTGTGGAGCACAAACTGGAACACGGAGCTGCCACCCTCGCGGGCCACGATGACGCTCGACCAGAGGAAGAAGCTCCACATGCGGTACATGTGGTCGCCGTACTTGGCCACCACCTTGTCCTTGTTCGACTCCCAGTTCTGCGCCCATCGCAGGATGGTCGCCGAGTAGTGCACGCCGGCGACGTCGACCGAGCGGATCTCGAAGCCGGCCTTCTCGAGATGCGACACCACCCAGCCGAGCGAGCACGAGGCGTCGGCGCCGGGGAAGACGTATTTGTTCATGAAGAGGCCCCAGTTGAGGTCGTGGAACTGCCACCTGGGTCGCAGGCCGGCCACCTGGAAGACAAAGACACCGTCGTCGTCGAGCAGGTTGTACACGTCCGAGAGGAACTTGTCGTAGTGGCGGATGCCGACGTGCTCGGCCATCTCGAGCGAGATGATCTTGGTGTAGTGGCCCGGCTGGACGGGGATGTCGCGGTAGTCGAGGTTGAGGATGCGCGCCTGGCTGGGGTCGATGCCGTTCTTCTGGAGTCGGTCGTTGCCGAAGCGAGTCTGCGTCTTGGCGAGCGTCACACCGGTCACGTCGCAGCCGTAGTTGACGGCGGCAAAGGTGGCGAAGGTGCCCCAGCCGCATCCGATGTCGAGCACGCGGTCCTCCTTCTGCAGGTCGAGCTTGGAGCAGACGAGGTTGAGCTTGTTGTCCTGCAGCTCCTCGAGCGTCTCCGCCTTGTTGGCGTCCGAGATGATGCCCGAGGTGTAGATCATCTGCGGGCCGAGGAACCACGCGTAAAAGTCGTCGCCGCGGTCGTAGTTGTCCTGGATCTGCGTCTGGTCCTGCTTGGCGGTGTGCATGAGCACGTCGGGGATGAGGTTGAACAGCACGTACTCAAACAGCGGCCAGGTGAACTGCATCGAGCACCAGTCCCAGCGGTACTCGAGCAGCTCGTTGAGCGGCAGCTTGGGCTCGATCTTGCCGGCAAAGTAGGCGTCGTGGAAGGTCTGGTAAGGGATCTTCTTGTCCGAGTGGTACTTCTTGCGCAAGGCGGGGTCCTTGATGTCCATGTAGTACTCGAGCGGCTTGCCGGGCAGCTGCACCTTTTCGTTGATGCGCGGGCCGTAGGTGGACATGACGGTCCAGTAGGCGATGGCGACGGGCGCGCCAAAGAGGGCGCACAGAAGCAGGTAGCTGAACCATCCGAACCACTGGGGGTTGACGAACGGGATCAGACGCAGCACGACGGCTGGGGTGAAGAAGATGAGGAGCGCGAGGTGGAGGTTGGAGAAGGTGCCGTTGCCCTCTGCGGGGAGGGGAGCGTTGGCGATGGAAGGGTAGTTGGTGAGCTTGACCTTGCCGCCGGGAGCGAGCTTGACGCTGGCATCCTTCTCGTCCTTGACGGCAGGAGCGGAGCCGTTGCCGAGCTTGAGGCTCGAGCCGTTGGCAGCAGGAACCGGCTCGGGAACGGCGATCTTGGCGCTCAAAGCAGGCTGTGCCGGCAGGACAGGCTCAGCCTTGACGCTGGCGGACGACTGCGAGGCGGGCACGGCGTGCGGGACGTCGACGGTCTCGGTGACGCCGTGCGAGTCGAAGGAGAGGTTCTTGGAGAGGCGGTCGTACGCCTCCTGTGCTTGGTCCGTCATGGTGACCAGATGGTGTCGCTGCTTGTAGGCAAGGACCGAA